GGGAGCCTTCCCTCTCTCTCATTGACTGGGAAGTAAGTGGTGGTTCTCTCTCTCTCTCTCTCTCTACGTTTTCCTTTCAATTTTCCCGAACTGAACCCCTCTTTCTCTCTCTCTCTACATTTTTGTTTCAAATTTCCGACTTGCCCTGCATGTTGTTTTTCTCTCTCTAGAAGCTGGGTGTCGTGTCTCTGCCTTTTTGGGCTTGTGCTCACTCCAATATTCTCTCTCTACAATTGAGGCGAATCCATCCCATTGCATTCTCACTCATTTATTGTGTTCGTTTTTTGCCCAACTACGTTATTCATTCAATCTCTTCATATTTCTTCTTTTTTTTTGGCCGGGCCAAATGGTTGGCATCTCATCTCATCTCATCTCCCTCTTTCTCTTTCTCTTTCTCCTGCCAACTATTCTTTTGCCCATGCATAACAAGGTGAAGGTGAAGATGCGGGTGGGGCAAGTGGGCCATTTGCTTACACGGTTGGGAACATGTGCTCCCCATAAATCACCCCGCCTTTCTCGCACCTACTCTCTCTCTCTCTCTACAATTTTGCCGTTTTCTTTCTTCTTCTTGTTCTCTTGTGCTGGGAAAAGTCAAGATTGTCATCTTCTCTGCTGCTTTTGTAAATAATTGCAGGTTTGGATTATATATTATTGCATACCAAATCATCGCTTCATCCCATCTTTGGCCCTAAATCCGGCTAGCGGTGCCATGTCCACCTCAAAATTCCAAAATAATTGTATCGTTCTTGTCCATGTTTCACAACCAAATAAATGAGTATCCTTCATTCAATTTTATGCTTCTTTCTCTTCCCACTCTGCTTGCAAATATTATATTTGTTGGCTTAAATTGATAAGGCTGTGGTTTCTATAAGGTTGGAATCTTAACCGATCCAAATAGGGCGCACTTCAAAATTTATCATAACATGTAATTTTGGCGTAAAAATTCATAGGATTATCTCAAAATCTATTTTCATATTTAAATATAAAATTTTAAACTCCAAATATGGTTAAAATCAAGTAAATTTATAAACATATGAAAATTTTTAAAATAGACCACTATTTTTGGGATTCAAAATCTTTTATATATATATATATATATATATATCCATACAACTCGATGTCAGGATGATTTTTTTTTTATATTCATACATCTCAATGTCGAGATGATCAATTAGAGGGTTTTTAACATTTAAACAAATTTTTCCAATAGATTTTTTAGGTGCATCTTTAATTCTACGTTTTAAGGTTGCAATTTTATATAAATTTCTTCCAATAAATAATTTAGAGAATGCAATTTTAGAAAGTGACTCAGGCTGAGTAATCTGTCCTGGCCCGAGCCAATTACTCCAACCGAGTTCGAGTAACTTGGCCGATTAGTACTAAGTACCTAGTGGTAAAGAAATATTTACAAATTTATAAAAAATATAAAACTGTATATTTAAAGTAAGATTAAGCAAAGCATTTCAAAATAATGTTTAAAAAGTAGTATAAAAATATATTTAAAAAATCAACTTGTGATGAAGGTATTGGGAGAGGGTCCTATAGGATCATTACTTTTTTTGAAATAATCTAAAAAGATTGAAAATAGAAAATAATTATTTATAGCCAAAACACTTTTTAATTTTTGACAAAGAAATAATCTAAAAAGATTGAAAATATAAAATAATTATTTAAAGCCAAAACACTTTTTAATTTTTAAACAAAATGATAAAAAATATTAAAAAATTGGTGTAATTTGCATAAGGTTGCAACCTTAAACAATCCAATAACAGCACATCTCTAAATTTTATTATAAATGTAATTTTTTAATGTAAAAAATTATTATGATGATTTGAGAATCTATCCTATCTCTAGTTATAACTAGAATTTTAAATTTTAAAAATGGTTCAAATCAAGTAGATAGATAAACACATGAAAATCTTAAAATTGGACGGTCCAAATAATGTGTTGTAATATATAGTATTTCGAAGATTTGAAATCCTTTTTTTTTTTTTTTTTGTCGTATTCATGCATCTCGAAGTCAAGATAATCAATTAGAGGGTTTTCCAACATCCAAACAACTTTATATAATGGATTTTTGATGTGCACTTTTAATTCTACATTTTAAGGCCGCAACCTTATATAAAGTTATTCCATATAAAATATATCTCAAATAGTTTTTTTTTTTAAAAAAAATTTATAATGCTTTTATAGACACCCAACTCGGAACAACTCAAGCTCGACAAGGGCCCGAGCTAGGCCGAGTAGAAACAAGTACTCGTGGATTTTGGGAACAATGATCGAGTGAGTGCATGTTCTTCTTAGATTCTCATGTTTTTTTTTTGACAGTAAGTTGTTGGACTCTGGTGCTGTTCTATTGACAAGGTCGCCTCTTCGAATCTCTTTGCGGCCGGACCCTTTTACCAACAAAGCATGTTCTTGTGTATGTATTTTGTGCCTTAAATTTACTGTTCTCGATGTGGAAAATCTAAGTCAACAGTAGTAGATAAAAAATAAAATAATAATAAAAACTTAGGTTGTGCTTTATTAAGTAGGAAAAGCACTACAAAATTCCATTCGTCCATCATTTTGGCGCAATCATGAGAGGTGAATAGTACCCAAGTGGCATTGGTGGGGACGGCAATCACTAGGCCTAGCAACAGGCCGGCCACGGCCTGGCCACGGCCAGGCCCTAGCTCCGATCTAGTTCATTTTGGGGTCGCCCGAGATATTGGACTGGCCCCAACTACCTCAGCCCAGACCTGGCCAAAGAGGCACTTGCCCACGCCCCTACCTGCGAGCCGCAATTTGCGGCTGGTGGCTAGTTTTTAAGAGTCGAGCTAGGCTGTCCCGCCCATTGCTAGCCCTACCCATCGTGGGTTCCTAATGATGAATGCTGGGTTTCTCACTCACGATTTATATAAGGTTGCAACCTTAAAATGTAGAATTAAAGATGCGCTTAAAAATTCATTGAAAAATATTTTTTTAATGTCATTAGACATCGAAATGTATGAATATGAAAAAAAAAAAAGATTTTGAGTCCAAGAAATAGTGCATCTTGCAACACAATCTAGACCATCCATTTTCAAAATTTTCATATGCTTATAGATCTATTTGATTTTAATTTTTTTGGAGTTTAAAATTTTATAATTAGTTATAAAAATAGATTTTCAGATAATCCCAAGAATTTTTTACACCAAAATTAAATATTATGATAGCATTTGGGGGTGCCCCTTATTGGATTGTTTAAGGTTGCAACCTTATACGAACCGCACCTTTAAAATAAATACCCATGGGATTCTTCCCAGAAAAATAGGTGAGGCCCATAAAAATAGGGGAGGCAACGTGAGGCCTCATGGGCATACATGCCAACATCTCTCATTTGACCCTGACGGTCGAGCGCAATAATAAGTCATAGGTGTATTTCTACATTTGAGTATGACCTTTAAGTCAATATTTTGTTATGAGGTTTTTTTTATGCTTTCGCAGATATATCTCTCGTAACAAATGTCTCACATAAGGATTTCACGCTATGCGAATTTGTCATTCATGGAAACCAACTGACGTAAACATTTTTAAGTATCAACTAGTGTGCTTAGAAAAATAGTTCCACACTTAAACACTTTGTCAATAGGTCTGCAATCATATCAGATGAGGGCAAATGATTAACAATTACCTCATTTTTCTCTACAACATCCAAAATGTAGAGATATTGTATCTCTATGTGTATTTCTTTGGAGTTATTTTATCTCCTTTGTATTAGTTTAATTGCAGCTTAAATATTACAAAACATTTGAATTGATCTGTCAATTATTTACAGCTTCAAGTTATCTATGAAGCGCTTTATCCAAACGACGTGAGTACATGCAATGCTATATGTAATGTACTATGATTCCTATATGAACCTAGCATTGTTTCTTGCTAAACTAAAAAACAACCGCATCTCCAAAAAGGAAAACATGCTCTAAGGTGGACTTACTATCGTTCTTATCCCCTAACAAAATTTGTATCTGAATATCCTAGAACTTCAAGCTTATCTGCTTGAAAACATAATTTAAGATGCTTTGTTTCTATAATGTACCTTAGCATTTTTTTTTACTATTTTCTAATGGGCTATGCATGAATTATTTTGATATCTACTCACAGTACCTACAACTTAGCTCAAATCTGGTCATGTACATCGTATTGTATATATTAAGCTACCAAAAGCTTGTGCATAGGGAACATGAGGTTTTTCTTCTCCTTCTATTAGACAATCCTTCTTAGATAGTGGATTACATTTTTTCATTTTAAATCTCTGAATAATAGAGTCAAGATATCTTTTTTGGCTCAAACATATCATTCTAAAATTTTAGTCTCGAGTTATTCTTATTCCTAGGACACAAGATGTTTCTCCTATATCTTTTATCTCAAAACGAGAAGAAAGTCATGACTAGGTCTTGTCAATCATTTCTAAGTCATTTCCAACTAATATGATATTATCTACATATAGTGAGAGTATTATAAATTTACTCCCACTCTTCAAGATATACACACAATGGTCGAGTCTATTTACT